TTAAAAAAGACCAGGCTAGATGACATACTCTAAAACAAATGGAGTCCCACAATAGATCTGAAAAGGTCGCGGTGAACAAGGACAAATAACGTCCAACTCCTAATCTAGACAGAGTGATTTGTACCTCTGCATGGTGAAGCAAAAATACATTTTTTCTCCGATTAGCATTTAGTGACACTTCCTGCATAGGCATTACAAATTTACTTTTTTCTTGTCTCTTTTGAATGATTGCTCTGCATGAGCAAAGGTACTATAAGTATATTTGTATAAAAATTGAAGGTATATAAAAACAACGATTAGAATAAATATTGAGTTGTATCTGTTAATTCCATTTTTCAAATACACTGTATAAACAATCGCAGAAAAAATTGTTTCACACGACAGAAAAACAGATGTACTGCCTTGGCTAACGCGTCGCATCATAAATGAATCGTTCTAATCAATGAAATCAAAAAAAATTCTCATAATTTTTCATGTTTTAACAATTACCAAAATTATGCAAATATTTAAGTCCGGCCCAGAACATCTCCCCACTCATTTCACCCAGTTTTTCGGTTTTGGCAAAATTCGCGCAGTGGCAATTGTTTTCTATTTTACCTCTAACCTTTCTAACCTCTATGGTTATACCGTAACAGGATTTTTTTTTAATATTAGTATATTACCAACAAAAGACCCGAAAATAGTAAAATAAATCAGCAATATTTATAGACAATGACAGTTAATACGAAGTAAAAAAAAAAGAAATATATATCGAAAGTAAAACTTTAAATTATCTTTCATCCAAGGATCAAAATCAATGAATTTTACCGGGAAATTCAGTTAAACTTTTTATAGTCGCAATCAAACTTTTCAAATCAAACTTTTTCATATAATCGCTACAGGTTTATAACTGAAAATGGCTAAAGTGTTATATTCTCAATTCTTAGGTGGAAATTGGACGACGACCGATTAGATACGAATTGATGGTATACTAAAAATGGAGAAGAAAGCATAAAAATGGAATTGAGGGGTGAATTATAATCTATCGACTTGATGATAATCATACGCTTGATGTGCTGTACCCACAATAAATTCCTTTTATCGTAGTCTTCTACTAGTGCTGTATGCAGTCAAATCATTTTTGTTTGCAGTTTTATTGTTTTATTGAGATGTTTTTTTTTTCGTGTATAAATAACTCTTAAGATTCATGCGAGGCAGGTGAAAGTTATATCAATAGATATAGAATATTATCTGTGATAATTTTGAAAATTCTAAAATGCCATACAATCATTTTATTTCTACGCTAGAATTAATATTCCATACAACTTTAAAAGAAATAATAACCCAAACAGATACAATAATTAAATTATAAAAATATATTTTCAATAAATTTGTAACATCCCTGTCATAATTTCCCCTTTATATACGTTTTATCTTAGAGTGCAATTATATTACTCAATAAAATTTGTTAATAGGTGTTTTAAACTACATAAAAGTATAATAAAAAATAATATTTTGAAAAAAGGTGTTTACCACTTTTGTTTTATCCCCATTTCCTTACTTATTACATTTTCTATTAATTTTACGATTACTTATTTAATTTATATAAAAAATACATTAAACATTTCTGCTTTTAAATACTTATATCTAAATAAAATTTTGTTCCTTATTCTTTTAGAAAAAAGCTGTGTTATTTTTAGTATTTGCCACGGCTTAAATTATATTTTATTAAGGTTGCACTTGTCCCATGGTGCTTTAATATGCTCACTGATAATGAGATAAAATTAACTGTTTATTTAAGAAAAAAAAAAAAAAACATGGGATACAAATTTGTTTAGATTAGTAAAGTGTAAAAGGTTAGAATTAGGTTTTCACTTAAAGCCAAAATATATTGTTATGGATTTCGAACCTAATTATGAATTATAATAACATCAATACTTGTCTAAATATATTTAAACTTGCAATACACATTTGTTAATTATAAAGCAGCGTCATTAGTTGCGTTGTTTAATTAAGCTGTATTGTTTAAACAGAGTAATTTATTGGAAATTTAAGTAACAATATCGGTTTTTTTTCTTGTTTATTATTAGTTTCCATAAAGATTTCCTTAAAAAAAAAATAAAATTAGCATAATTTTATTTCAGAATATATTATTTTTTTTTTATAAAATTCCATAAAACTATAATGATCTAAAGGAAGTATATCGTAACTATTTAATATTAAATTACTTTTTGTCATGTGGATCTATTTATTTTGTTCTACACTGAAGATATTCAGCTGTCTTTCACATTTATTTTTATTTTCTTTAAGGCAATCTACATATTCATCAGAAGTTCTTTGATTTTTACAAAATTACATTTAACGCCCTTTGATTTATTGGTCACGGCAAAGTTTTTTTAGGATATTTTGAATAATTGATTTATTTGTTTCTTTTTAAATCTTATTCGTTTTTCTAATTCATCTTCAGTTACATTAACTTTAAAAGAATAATTTTTAATGGAAATCCTACAAAAACTCGCAAAATTTGGATTTGCAAAATTCCCCCCCCCCTCCCTATCCACTTATTTATTTTCAGTGCAAATCTAATTAAAACCATGTGAAACCTTATAATATATTTATTCAAATGAAAATATGTTTAAGCATACATTTTTATACTTGAGTGTACCTTCCATCTACGTATTTACCCATCCAGGCAAAAATCACAAACAAATTTTTTGACTGTTGTTGGAAATGAACACAACTCGTGGTTCTACCTGAGACATTTAGAACACTTTATCCATCTCTCTTCTCATTTGTCTTGAGAAAAACGCCTTTTACAGATAGGACATGACACATCTTCATCGTTTGAACTGTCCTCGTCATCGGTGGATACTAGTGGAACCTCTGCTTCATCCTCAGAGTCACTTGAACTCAAGTCATATTTCTTGGTTTTCTTTTTGATAGGTTTCTTCGATGATGTTGCAGGCTGATCTTCATCTTCAATGATGAGACGTTTCTTCACACTTGACTGTGTTTCATCTTCAGAGTCATTTGAACTCAAGCCATATTTCTTCGTTTTCTTTTTGGTAGGTTTCTTTGATGATGTTGCTAGCTGATCTCCACCTTCAATGGTGAGACGTTTCTTCACAGTTGACTGGGATTGGTTCTTCTTACGCTATTCCCCCATTTGTTTCTTTTCCATTGATAATTTTACAGACGATTTATGGTCACTTCCTGTTACCAAGAACGAGGTTCCGGCTCTAGAAGATGTAGAAGGCTGGATTACTGGAACTGGCACAATGTCTTTTGGACTGACCACTTGAGGTGGAGCTGGAGCATTCTGGATATCCTCGTTTTCTCCATTATCAGACACCTCTGGCTCTTCTTCAAGTTGTCTAGCTACAACATCGTGCTCTTGGCAAATCTCTGGATTAAAAGGATGAATTCCAGTTTTCCTGAATCCATTGACTGCAGTTTCAAGGGTAGCAGCACGAAGGTATGCTTCACCTAATAATCCAGATACTTGTAGTTTCCTAACAATTCTGTTTGGATTAGAGGAAACATAAATGCTACGTCCAAAGGCTGCAGCTTATCTGTTGAGTGAGGAGGAAGGCAAACTATGGAACTCCTGCCTCTCTTGCGCGGTCATTAACCTCTAGATTTCTAGTGTGGGAGTAGTGCCCATCAAGGATGAGCACTACCGGCTTCTCTTTTGAAGGCGCTTAAAAATAGTCTTACCCACTTTTTGCCAGCTGCCTTTGCTTCAGGCGAGAAAGGATTAGGAACTAATTGGTAAGCCATTCGTCTTAGGTCAGAAATAGTTAGTCCATAATAATGTCGCTCCATATCCAGACAGTATTCAACAAGTTCTTTCTCAAGCTTAGCGGAAAAAACTGGCCTTATTCCATATTTCAAGCTCATACATTCCTCAGGTGAGAGAGCAGATTTGACGTAGTCCTTCAAGGTAGACCTCGGGACAGCATAAACCTTTGCAGCTACTTTATACCCCATCTCCTTGTTCCGCCCCGCAGCAATAGCTTTCACCATGGCATCAGAATCCCATCTTTTGCGGGGTCGCATCTGGAAAGATTCAGTTTGATAACCTCCTCCTTTTTTAAAGTCGGTTAAAAAGGACGAAAAGTTCCAAAGAAACTAATCTTTCTAAGAGGTGAGTAAAAAACTAAATATACTGCAGTAAAAATTATGAGGGGTCCTAAATTCGTCCCCGGACGAATTTGAGAACGTCGAGGGGGGGCGGATTTTGGATTCTAGTTACAATAAAAATGGCGACTGCTCCTGACCAAACGACTACGACTACAAGGCTGTGGCAACTGGTGCACTTTATCACAATAGCACTTTAATATTATCAATGGATAAATCATGAAAAACTTACCTTATGGCATTAATATAATTGTTTGAACTTCACTTGATACTATAGCACACTGTTGCTATATTTATTTTTCACAATATAACAGCAAATAAATGGAACAGATCAGCCCTATCAACGTCAGTGCTGTCAACTGGATGGTTCTGAAGCGTTGATTGTCATTTTGGCAACGTTGCCACATTGCACATGAAATTCTGACTGGGGACGAATTTAAGAATGGGGACGGAATTCGGGCACTTTACCTTACACTTATTTCATGACTGTCAGTATCAGTGAACAAATTTGACGTTAAGTAGATTTTTTCAACATTATGAAAACTGTTTATCAACGTTTTTAATATAACAAAAATATATAGTTTTGCCAATGCCAATAATGCCTGCTAACGTAAAATTAACAAATACAATTTGGGCTGATTTAACGTCTTCAACTTCGCGAACTACCAATAATTTTAAAACATTCCACTCTGTATTTAAAAAGTATTGGAAAAAATGTCATCCAAATACTATTATTATATTTCTAAAATATTTGATTAGGACAGAATTTTTAAAAGTGTATGTATCCTTTTTGTATATAATTTGGTGAACTATTTTTAGCTAAATCGATTAATGATGAATGTCGTTATGACGAATGTTGATGAGTAATGAAAATCAATTACCTCAAAACTAATTAGTCCGCTATGGTCCTGATCCAAGGTGTTGAATACATAATGGGCGTATTGGCTGCAATTCGCTGTAACAAAAAAACAATATTTAACTAGAAATTCTGTGCTCGTTATTTCAACATAACTAGAAAATAATGGTCTATAAACACAGGAGCTGTCAATCGAAATGCTCAATTGATTGAAACCATGTCCAATTTTCCATATACGTTTAATAAGAGTAGATAAAATGATAAAAGGATTTTTGTAAAATGTCACAGATTTTTTCATAAAACAAAAAAAAATACAAATTTCAAACAAATCCTTTGATCTTCTCTTCGATATTAAACCATACAATTTTAGGTTTCATTTAAAATTTATACTTTAGGCCATTTCAAATACGAATTATGGCAAAAAATATATTTTTTTTTCGAAGCAGAATTCTTTAAAAATGAACAACCAATTTATCTGCCATTTTCAATCATTAATATTTTAAAGGTATTAAAATGAAAATTAAAATTTGTTTGAGATACCAGCAGTGGCATAACCACGCGAAGGAATGAGAAGGGGTTGGGGGATTAAAGGTTCAGAACCCTCCTTTAAAGTAACTGTAGTTTTTTTCATCTAGCTCAATCAGTTTTTCTATACATCTCCAGATCATTTTTGAGCTGATTACGTAAGAGCCCAGCAGCGGCTGGACATGATGATAATCTTTTGTCTGCGACGTTCGATGTTCTACTAGATTTCCTTTTCAATAGTATTGAGTTCCAGGTCAATGGGTATCCCAAAAAACGTGAACAATCTCCCGGATTCAGATAGAACACATAGAAATAACAACAAGTTCCTACATATTTTTTTCTTTACTATTTTCCCATAATGGACACTCTTGAAAATATTTTCTTTTAATAATTTTCAAAGTCCTTGGTATAATTTAATAACTATAAGTCTCCGTAAAATGGATCATTTTAAACATATTTGGCTTATTTAGTTTGCCAGCGTCGGACTAGCCTTAACAAAATATTGCTCATATATTACTCATATTTTTCTAAATTTTATATTTGATTTTTAAATAATTTTTTTTTTTTGGAAATACGTAGTTATTGTAAACTACAACATGCTGTATACTGTATTTTATCTAACATTTTTGTGTTAATCAATTGTTAATACTATGTTTACGGTTGTTCTTTTTCGACGTTATCCAATACAAATAAACATTTCCCAACCGTATTCTGAATAATTTATTAACGCCCTATAAATTTTACAGCACACAAATGATCAAGAAGTGAAGAAGTGGGGCAAATATGTTGTTTTAGTTTGGAATACCTTTATCTTTTAAATAAATTTGACGACTAGTCTAATGTACCTATCTATTTACACAGTTTATCATCGGATTGCATTAATAGAGTCTTGGCTATTATTGCCATCATCGGTGAAATATTACTGTTAGTTTATGGGAGATTAATTTTAAGTCATTGTCTTACTTCTAAAATGACCACATTAGAGCAGTTAGATGCTCTTTTTCAGATATAAATTTGGTTTACATTCAAATGTCAAATTTAAACGAATAGATAATTGAAATACAATAAAAATCTGACTGATCCAAAAAAATTAAATTGATTTAAAACAGAAGACCTACGTTAGTCTCGAGTGTCGTGGTTGAAGGTAATAGAACACAGAACCTTTCCTTTCACTTTAAAAGGTGTCTTAAATATGAAATAGGAAATAACCTATAAATTATAAATATTCAGCCTGCACCTTTAGTTTTTCTGTGGCCTGTACGATATAAGAAAAAAAGTAAAGAATTATGTACAAATTATTCACAATCAATGGTATTATACCCCAATCAGTAATGTTTGGTTCCCAATATCATAGTTAGCACATTAAATTCAAGGTTATACAAGTAAAAGTTTCTATAGAGCTTAGTTCATAAAAGCGATGGGAAAACCCTTCTTTTTATTAACACTAAATACTTAAACAATCCTACACAATTTTGGTTTAGCAAAGCACAGAAACCAAGTACTTATTTTATGTTCTGTTTACCTAGTAATTAGGCTCAACTTATTATTTTTAACCATATAAATCAACTATCTCTCGTCAAAACTATATTGTACATATGATTATCTCGTTTTAAGGAACAAATATGGGGTATATACTCTACCTTTGGTGGTAGGATCGCTGAGGAAGTTCCCCTTACCTTCTGAGGTATATATACAGGGTGTCTGTAAAAGGTCTTTACAAAAACATACTACATATTCCTTAATACCTTAGACTAAAATAACTCGATTTAAGTAAAATTACCTTAGTACAAAGTTGCTTCGTTTGGGCTCCAGAGGGCCTTGAAGTTACACTTGTTAAATCGTTTTTCCCATATAAATTTAAAACGGCATATGCGATTTTGCTGAAATTTGGTATATTGGTAGAGTTTTATGTGACAAAAAAAAATGGTATTAAAATTTTGTCCGATAATAATACATAGGCGTAGAACTTGATTTTTTAAATAATTGCATCTTTAAAAATTCTACGCCAATGGAAGAAAAGGAGTTTGAGTATGAAATTTAGATTGCGCAACTCATTTACTTTAAAAAAGGTACTCTTGATAAGACTCGATTACTCTCATGGTTTTGACGAAATTTGCATTTTAGTAATTTTAGAACATAAACAATAATTATTAAAATACAAACTTTGTCAAAACCATGAGAGTAAATCGAGTGTTATCAAGGGTACTTTTTTGTAGTAAATGAGTACCCAATCCAAATTTCATACTCAAACCCCTTTTTTGCCATTGGCGTAGAATTTTTAAAGGTGTAATTATTTAAAAAATCAAGTTCTACGCCTATGTATTATTATCCGACAAAATTTTATACGATGAAAAACATAAAAATGTACTTTTTGCATATCTTCTTCAACACCTCTAATCGAGACTTTTAACAAAAATACTCGATTCTTGCCATGTACGATTTTTTGAGGAATATTAATTATTTGCCTGCAATACGTATACAAAAACATTTATTGTTGGTTTCCATAGTTTCATCTAAATAAAAATATTGTCAAGTTTTAACACCTAATCTCTTGTTAACGATTGAAAGTGTTCTATCTGACTCAATAATTAAAAAAAACAAATGCGTGGTTTATTAATATGGCTGTACGATATACCAATGCAGAATATACCGATATGTTACTGACATTAGGATTTTGTGAAGGAAATGATCGAGAGAGTGTCAGGGTGTACTCTGAAAGGTTTCCAAATCGTCGTGAACCTAGCCACCCAACTTTTGCTGCTGTTGAGAGACGTCTTCGGGAGACCGGTTCCTTTGCTCCCAACACTGTTGATAATGAAAGAGAACGTTTTGTAAGGATTCCTGAAGTTGAAGAAGACATTTTAGAACGTGTTGAAGAAGATCCAGAATTAAGCACCAGACGAATTGGAAGGGAACTAGGAGTAAGTAAAAATGTCGTTCATAAAGTGCTTAGAGAACAATTGCTATATCCATACCACAAGAAGCCAGTACAAGAATTATTAGTCCATGATCCTCAAATTCGTTTGGGTTTTTGTCGATTTGTTAATATGCAAAGAGAAAGAGATCCAAACTTTGTCAAGAAGGTTCTCTTTACCGATGAAGCGGGTTTTACAAAAAGAGGTATAACTAATACCCATAATGAACATGTTTATGCCGTTGAAAATCCGCATGCAATAAAGGTAAACTATTTTCAGCACGAATTCAAAATTAATGTGTGGGCTGGAATAATTGGTAATTTCATTGTTGGTCCTGTCATACTTCCACGAAGATTAACTGGAGAAAATTATTTGGATTTTCTACAAAATACGTTGCCAGAATTGTTAGAAGATTTACCTCTCCAACTTCGGAGAGATATGTGGTTTATGCAAGATGGAGCTCCACCACATTTTTCTTTTAACGTTAGAAACCACTTGAATGAACAATATTCACACAAATGGATAGGCAGAGGTAATGACGCACCTGTAAACTGGCCACCACGTTCCCCAGACCTTACACCGATGGATTACTTTTTATGGGCACATCTGAAATCCACAGTTTACAGGGAACCTGTAGAAAATGAGGAACAACTCTGGCAACGTATCCAAGATGCAATTAACAATCTTAGAGGTGATGAAGAAGTTATGGAAAGGATACATTTTAATTTTCTTTGACGTATAAATCTTTGTATGCGTGAAAATGGTGAACATTTTGAACAATTTTTGTTGTAAATAAATATTTTTGTGAAACCTATACACTCTAAATTATTAAAACAGAAATTTAGCGAAAACTATGAGAGTAATCGAGTCTTATCAAGAGTACCTTTTTTAAAGTTAATGAGTTGCGCAATCTAAATTTCATACTCAAACTCCTTTTCTTCCATTGGCGTAGAATTTTTAAAGGTGCAATTATTTAAAAAATCAAGTTCTACGCCTATGTATTATATTCGGACAAAATTTTAATACCATTATTTTTGCCACATAAAACTCTACCAATATACCAAATTTCAGCAAAATCGCATATGCCGTTTTAAATTTATATGGGAAAAATGATTTAAAAATTGTAACTTCAAGGCCCTCTGGAGCCCAAACGAAGCAACTTTGTACTCAGGTAATTTTACTTAAATCGACTTATTTTGGTCTAAGGAATATGTGGTATGTTTTTGTAAAGACCTTTTACCGGCTCGAAGGACTATGATTCATAACGAAAAGAATTTTCTACAGTATCTTTCCATTGTAATTTGGGGTACTAACTTAAGATTTTATTGAAACTATTCGTGATTGGGGTAAATTATTTTATTGGCTAGTCAGCATATAATTTGAGATACAGAGAAAGAGTAGCGGGTAGTTTAGGGGAACTACAGCTATATTTTTTGGTGTTTTTTTTACAAAATATCGCTGTCACAAAAAAACTTATATATGACAGTTGCGAAGCAACTGTATTATACATATTAATGAATTATTTTCTTGTTTAAAGGTGAATTTTTAACAGGAACCATCGCTCAAGTTCACAAAGACCTACTGGATCAAAAAATACAAATCGTTAAGATAACAGTAGGTCTTCTTATAGGATACTGCCACCTAAAAAAAGTATTAGCG